CTGACGCCGCCCTGGGCATCTGTCCTTCATGGTCCAGCGTGCCTGGTCCAGTCCAGGACGGGAGGTGGCTGGAGCTTTTCCTGGCTGCTCCAGGCACAAGGTGGGACCCAACCCTGGACAAGATGGCATTCTGTCACGGGCACATCTCTCTCCCTCACACACACACACACACACACACACACACACACACACACCAACTGGGACAGTTGAGACAGGTGGTGAATCTGATGCTCCTGTCTTCAGGATATGGGAGGAAGTAAAGTGCCCTGAGTACCACACCCAAGTGGTAGGGGGGAGGTGGGGGGAGGGGCAAGTGCCACACAGACAGTGGCCCTGCCTGGAACAGAGTTTTATTCTCTCAGTGAAAGAATGCTCAAAGGAAATGACAAAATCCCAGGAGCGCTGCAGTTAGAGAGAAGATGGTAGCTTAGATGGATAGACTGCAGACAGACAGACAGACAGGGAGAGATAGAGCAAGGGGCTGCTATCCCGTGCACGGTAGTCTAAAGCTGAGCAGTTGGGCAAGTTAGACGGACATTCATAGGAAACATCCAGTTTCTTTCTGAGCCCACTGTCCGGTGTGACTCCAGTCCTACCAAGCCAAATACCTCGGCATACAGAGGCCACCTACGTCTCCCCTCTGCCCCATCAGGAATTTCTCGGGTACCTGAGGTCTTGTCAGCGAGTCAGCATTGCCTCATATTCCAGGTATGGCTAGGATCGCCCCATTTGCCATCACCAGGACAACCATGCATTCCTGCAGGTTCACCCAGAGTCCTGTGACCAGCTTCTTGCTAAGTCCTTCTTTCTACGTCAGGCCAATTTGGCTTGGTTTACAAAATTTAGCTGCTGGGTCCGCCAAGACAGCAAGAAAAGAATGAGTGAATGAACAGAACCCCTGGTGTTAGTGTTAGCGACATTAAGGTGTCCTTGTGTGGACTTAGGCCACGGGACCCTGCAACACCTGATTCCTTTGTCAGCCCAACCAGTGTCCTTTCCACTAATGCTGAGCACTGTCTGCACACAAACAAGGGCAAAGAGGCAGATCGCTTGTTCTCACTTAGTTGGCGTTTGGACCCCAAACCTCAGTGCAAGCTAAACTCCACACCTAAGGGAAGGATAAGATAATCTTCTTCAGACAATTGAACCCCCAAAATGCCTTTTTCCTGAAAATACCTGCTTTTTACACACACACACACCAGGAGAAGTGAGTCTCAGAATCTACTGTTCCACTAGGGCCAGAGGCCACACCCTCTCCTGCCGTTCCACAGGGTGAGAACAAGAAAGCATCCTTGACCACCACCGGGAAGGTCAGCCCTGGGCCCCCGCAGCCAGTATGCCTGGGGAGAGCTCACCCATGTCTCTCAGCCACAGGGGCAGAGTGAGGATGAGGGAAGACATGAAACAGCCAGGTCTTCTTTAAGGGGAGCTCTATCTCTGCTCCCTACACCAGCTGCCCACCACCTCAGTGAACTCCTCAGAGGATAACTGGATTAATCCAAGCAGTCAATACTGAATTGTCAGGATTGGGCTTTGGCACTTAGCTGTGGGTGATGTGGGTTGGAGGCAGGAACGTTCCATTCATTCTTTGGCTAACCCCAACAGGTTTTAATGGCAAAGGATGGGCAACTGGCAACTGGCTCACTCTTTGAGGAGGGCATGAGAGAAGAAACGCCTATTTTTTTTTTATAGGGGCACTTTGACCCTTTTCATTGCTCTTGGATTCTCCCAGAACAAATGACCTAGGAAGGTCAACCACTCAGAGCATCCTAAAAGGCTCCTTGGGTCTGTCATCAACTAGTTCAATCCCTATAACTTCTCCAGGTGCAGGGACCACTGGTGTTTTTCCCATCTGATATCATCTCACACCATGTCCATCAACTCTGGCTAATGACACTTATCAGCCAACCTAAATCCTCCACCCCACCTTACTCTCCCGCCCCGTGATCAAATGAAGCTCTTGAAAGCAGAAAGCCTGAATTTAGTTGGAAGATCAGTAAGAAAGTGAAACTGTAGCTGGAAGCACTTGTTTCAAGGAAGCAGAGTCGACCAGATATCTCTCTGGCCTCCCAGAATTATCAGAAAAGAGATGTCATCCAAGTGAACTGGACCTTTAACCAGCCCAGTGACTCCACCCAAGAAACCAGCAGTCTGGGAGTGACATCAGCAAAATGGGACTCTCTACTGCTTGTGTCCCCCAAGAAATGTTAGTCAGAGCAACTGTTTGCACAGGAAAATACCCTCACACAAGACCTGGCATCTGCATGCTCTGGGATCAGCATCCCTGGTACCAGGCTCCTCCTGGGGGCCACTGAATCCAGACTCCAGCCCACTCCATCCTTCAGGAGACCCCCCGGCCACAGGCAGCTGCTCCAACAGAACAGCCTCCCTGTGGCTCCTGCAAACCCAGGCACCTGTCTACCTGCCACTCACTGGCTCTCTGGTCCCAGGTGGCATCTTTGGCACCCAGTTCCCAGTGAACTTCCTTAAGCCCAAATTACATGGGCATCTTGTTTTTGGTTTCGATGATGTGTGTGTTCATTGTGTGGCTTGATTTTGCCCTAGTTGACCCTCAAACAAGGTGGGTCTGAACTGTACCCATCCTTTTCTACAAGGATATTTTCTGTCTTCATTTCTGTGACCACAGATTCAACCAACCAACCAACCAATCAACCAACCAACCAACCAACCACAAGATGTGAGTTGGTTGGAGTCTTCCACACTGAACCCCGGGGTGTGAAAAGCTGACTAGATGGTACTTGAGCATCCATGGATCTCATTATCATGGCAGGTAAAGGAGAGAAGGTAAAGGGGAGTCTCCAGTGGACATGAAGGAACCCATGGGATGACTTTAGTTTTAGGCAGTTAAATGTTATACTAAGGTTTTCAACTGCACAGTTAGTCAAGAGTCACTTGTATTATCAGTAATGTCACCAACTTATCCCTATTTTGTCTCAACAAGTCTTCCCGGCATAACTATAGAGAAATAGTTGGGGTTTTTTTGTTTTTTTAATTTGTGCATACAGAACTGGGGTACAGGCTTGAGGTGCAGGGGTGGTGAGAAGATTCATCAGAGATAGAGTAAGGAACAGAATAGGCAGTTATCCTGAAATACTCTGTTGAGGGGAGCAGCAGGCAAGACAGGAGAGGTCTGCTGTGCCATGTGGGCAGCTTCCTGGCTGGGGATCAAACTCTAGCTGAAGCAGCTACAGGTAGTTCCAGTGCTGTGCTTAATGTATTGTGCCACCCGGGAGGGCCCACTATAGAGAAATTCTTAAGCTCTGGGAACAGGGTTAAAGGTTCTGTGTGTTTTATGTGTCAACAGTTATTACAACATCATCATTCCGAAAAGTTGTACCAAAGCATATGCTAACAAAGTGTTTGAGTGAGTGTTTCCCAGAATTTACCAAGCTTTTTAGTTGTTACCAGCTGTTTAATATTAAGATACTAAAATTGATACCTTAATAAAAAAATAGCCTAGTCAATGCCCTTGGTGTCACCAATCAGCTGAGCATGAAGAAAACTCCTCCCCAGCTCCCCACTCCAACCCCCACACTCCTGGGGAGACTGGAGGTGCCTGGGTCCCCCTGGGCACCGATAGCATGGAAGATATGACCAGTACTGAAGCTGTGGGTCTTGAGCACTTTAACATGCAGATGTGTTGAGGTCGTTGTAGGCCCAGCGCTTGCTTGGTGGCCCTACCTGGATTCCCAAGAAGATGCAGAGATACCAGGGTGGGTTGTCCAGGATGCCGTAGGCCAGATGGGTGCTGCTGGGATGCTTATGCTGCCCATGCACCTTCCTGCCTTGGCCGCTCTCCTGGGAGCCGAGGGTACCATCAAGATTCTGTTGGGAACAGAGAAGGAAGGACACGTTTGGACACTTACAAATGAGTCCAGTGGCCTCCAGCTGACAACCAGACAGACGAACGGCAGACATCTCAGAGGCAGAAGGCAATGGGACAGGATCGTTGCTGGTCGACTAGAGATTTTCCATATTATACACCTGCTGCAGAGTTTCTGTATGAAGTCTAGGGGAGTGGGACCTCGACCAAACCCTGGCAGAGAAGCATCTTTGTGGGGGAGCAGAAAGGAGCCAGTCCAAGGTCAGCAGCCATACTATGTGCTGCTATGGCCCCAGATGCGTTTACATCTGCAGGACACTCATCACAGGTTTAACAGAGCCAGTGGTTGTCTCTTCTCCTGGGATGCTAGTTGCTGGAATACGTCTAGTGTGTTTACTCTTCTTCCCAGTACAGCTTCTAGAACAGTCCCCATACTCAGTGTCAACAGGACAAATGAATGAGTCAGTGACTGTAACTTATGGAGGACAAGAGGAGACTTGGTGAAGACAAGGGAGA